GGTGGACCTTGACAGATGATCAAGGTTCCAATAAGCAGAAATGGAAGATATGGCATTACTCCAAACCAAGAACATGCGTAAATACCAAGAAGAAAGTACAGTGAAAACAGTCATTTACTTTACCTAAAGGATAAATAATGAACGAAGTTATGGAATAAGGTATGGCCACTTTGTAGAAGCTGTGAATAACAGGATGAGAGCCTGAACAAAAGCAAGGTCTGGAAGTGACTACCTGCATACAAATCCTGGCTTCTTCACTTAATTGTTTTGTGACCTTGGGCAAAGTACTTAAACTCTCTGCTATACCTCAGTTTCCTTGTCCAAAAAATGAGACTAATAGAACCTGTTTAATAGGACTGTTGAAGTAAATAAGTTAATACATATCATGTATTAAGTCCAAAATAAATGATTATGTTATCAATAAGAAGTAAAATGATGCTTAAGCAGAGGAATAACAATATAATTAAAGTGGTGTCTCTAAGGGAAAGTCATCTCAGAAGATGGAACAGGAACATGCTACATGGCTGGTACTACAAAACCACTCCAAGCAGGAAGTACTTTGGACCTGACCTAGGGTGATAGAAAATGGGGGGAAAAAAAAAACCTGAGGATCTGTACTGTGGGAATCTGGCCAAGCTCCTGGAGTATATGTGGAGCAAACTAGTTTTGGTCCAACAAACACTAAAATTACTTGGCCCCTAGACTCCTACTATAAAATAAGAATAATAGTCAGAATTTGCTAAGAAAAAAATTTTCATAAGGACTAAATACTTTGACAAAAGGATACTGAACCTGACAGCAATGAGAAAAATGTATAGTGCTAACTACTGGTGAACCAGACAGGGATAAAACAGGTATGTGTTTCTCCTCGTGGAATTTGGAGCATGTTCCCTGTGGAGTTCAGATGGTATTCTTTGACAAGACAGTGAACTCTTCATGATTCTAGCAGAGTCTTTACCCCTTTGCTTCAAACCTCTTATATTTTAGAGATACATGTTATTATAACATCTTTATAATAACTAGAATAATTTTAAATAGGAAGTATGTGACTGAAAATTGTGCCTTGTTATCTGTTACCATATTATAATTTAACCAAGAAAGGTGAGAAGAGTGAAAGCATATGTATTAAAGTAAGGGAAATGTACAATTCACCTTGTAACCATTGATAACACCTTATATAATTTTCCCAGACTGGTTTATCATGTGACAATAAAGAAAACTTTTCTAGGGAAAAAAAAAAAAAAAACCTGGGGAAAAACTATTGGGGTAGGTAGCCTCCAAGATGGTTCCCTATCATTCCTATCTTTTAGCATTCACATCCTCTCTAGTCCCCTCTCACACTGTACCAGGTTGATCTGTGATGAAGAGAACAGGAAGGAAGAGATGATATGTCACTTCTGACACTGTTATAAAAGACACCAGGGCCTCTTTCTTAGTCCATCCCTCTCTCTTTCTCTTCAGAAAGCCAGTTGCCATGTTGTGAGAGCTGCCCTATGGAAGTGGCAAGTAACTGACCCTTGCCAACAAACACATGGGTAAATTTAGAAGTGGATCCTACAGCCTCAGTGACCCTTTTTTTTTTTAAAGATTTTATTTATTTATTTGAGAGAGAGAATGAGAGATAGAGAAAACGAGAGGGAAGAGGGTCAGAGGGAGAAGCAGACTCCCTGCTGAGCAGGGAGCCCAACGTGGGACTCGATCCCGGGTCTCCAGGATCATGACCTGAGCCGAAGGCAGTCGCTTAACCAACTGAGCCACCTCAGTGACCCTTTATTTGAATGCCACTTGTAGGAGACCCTTAGCTGGAACCAGCCAGTAGACCCATTCCCAGATTTCTGACCTTCAGAAACTATATGAAAAAATAAGCATTTGTTTTAAGCTGCTTCAGTTTTGAGATAATTCATTAAACAGCAATAGATCACTAGTACAATTATTGAAAAGAAAAACTGATAAGTTCCTGAGAGTCTCAAGTCAAAAACTAAGATTTCTTTTTTTTTTTTTTAAAGATTTTATTTATTTATTTGACAGAGAGAGAGACAGCGAGAGCAGGAACACAAGCAGGGGAGAGGGTCAGAGGGAGAAGAAGGCCTCCCGCCGAGCAGGGAGTCTGATGTGGGACTCAATTCCAGGACCCTGGGATCATGACCTGAGCCAAAGGCAGACGCTTAACAACTGAGCCACCCAGGCGCCCAAAAACTAAGATTTCTAAGACGTAATGTGAATGCCTGACACTAAATTTTTCGTTGCCAAGGCATCCATTTCAGAAGACATCATCTTGAATAAACATAGCACCAGTTACATGACAATTACTAGCAAATCAGCATGATAAGGAATTAAGCCGTCCTTCCCTCCTCATAAAGGTCCCGCTTTCAAAACACCCTCGATAACCTACAGTTAAACCTACATAACTGACCATTTGAGTGACGCTGCTTCTTCCTTCTGGTGCCCTAATTCCCACTCTTAGGCTTTAAATTAGCCAATAAAGGGGCGCCTGGGTGGCTCAGTTGGTAAAGCGACTGCCTTCAGCTCAGGTCATGATCCTGGAGTCCCGGGATAGAGTCCCACATTGGGCTCCCTGCTCAGCAGGGAGTTTGCTTCTCCCTCTCCTGCTCCCCCCCCTTGTGCGCTCTCTCTCTCTCTCTCTCTCTATTCTCTCTCTCAAATAAAATCTTTAAAAAAATAATAAATAAATTAGCCAATAAAGAATTAATCTCCAAAACCGTAGATATCCCACCCTCAGAACCTAATAAAAGCAGACCCCAAGATCTCTTGCTCTCCTTCTCCCCCAGCCTCCCTCAACCTCACAGTGTGGCCCTTGGGTGTGCAATATACCCTCTAGGATCTGTGAGTAATAAATCTCATTCCTCAAAGTTCCCTGGTGGATTTTGCTGAAGTGCATCCTGCAATCACGATAACCACAAGGTCTGCTCAGCCACAAGAATGGCTCTGGTTGGGAGAAATGGCTTGCTACAAGTAATCTGGGGGCCCAGGCAAGTGCCTCAGGCATTCCTAGCCAAGCATCACCATGAATAGGATGAGACCAACACAACACAAAAGAAACTATTAGGGCTTAGTGGACTAAGGATGTGAAATTGATGACTTCATGATACACTGAGTTTAAACTGAGCTCAAGGAAAAGTCAGCTATATAGAGTGACAGCTAACATCAACCTATGAGATTGCAGAGAACAAATTTGTAAAAAAAAGCACCAGATCAAAAATTAGAACATGGCAGGAAAAGAGTAAAGAGAAGTAAATAAGGGGTGCCTGGGTGGTGACTCAGTCAGTTAAGCATCCAACTCTTGATTTTGGCTCAGGTCATGATCTCAGGGTTGTGAGACTGAGCCCGGAGTCCAGCTCTGCACTCAGCGGGGAGTCTACTTGAGATTCTCTCCCTCTCCTCCCGCCCCTTCCCCCACCTCATGCGCTCACACTCTCCTCTCTATATAAAAATAAATCTTTAAAGAGAAGCAAATGAGCAGATGCAAGACAGGAAGAGAATCAGGATAGCAAGAGTCAGGGATACTTGTCCCCCCCAAAAGAATTAAATAAAAGTAAGTGATGTGTCAAATGCTACAGTGACCATGAGTTAACAATTTCATTTAATTCCTTGATTTTTTTTCACATTTGAATATTTCTGGAATCAGAATGTGTCTTACAATCAATAGGTATGTTTGACATAGGTTTCTTTTACTCCCTGTAATCAGTTACAAAATTCAGTCTCTGACAAGTGACGATATTCCAGAAGCAAAGAAACATAATAAGCAAGTTGAACCTGTATATGTGGACTATTTTTTCAAGAAGGTGTTTTTGTTTTTGTTTTGTTTTTTGTTTTTGGGGGGGGTTGTAAAAGGAAGAGGAGTCAAAAAAGGAGGCACTCAGAGACATCTAGGCGGCTTAGTCCAGTTAAGCCCAACTCTTGATTTCACTCAGGTCATGAGATCAAGCCGCCCCCCCCCCCCCCCCCCCGTGGGCTCTGCGCTGAGCATGAAGCCCCCTTAAGATTTCTCTCTCTCCCTTTCCCTCTGCTCCTCCCCCTCTGCTGGAGCGCTCTCTCTTGGGGGAAAAAAAGAAAATACTGTGTTTGCTTTTTAAAATTTTGTTTTAATATGATGAGACAAGCATATTTGTAAGCAAGGAACTCAGAAACAGCTTAAAAAGGTAATGGACACGTGAGTACCAAGAAAACACAATTCACGGAAGAAAAGGATGTACTCACAAATACAGGTACAATCATCTAAATATCATTAATGCAATATTTCCTTTACACGTACTCCGTGTTCAGACACTGTGGTATAAGTTGGTATACACAGTTTGGCAGCGGTTAGCTTTAGACTCCTCTCCCACTGACGCAGGAATAGAAGATTCAGAAACAGTTTAGAATAGAAAGGAAAAGTGTGGCAACGGAGATATCTGGGGAAAAAATGGCACATCCATTCCAATATCCACCGCTGTCTTCGTGTGTACCGTGAAGTCAAAAGGAGACAATGCCAAACACTAGAGAGGATAAATATATCTCACACGCTAGTTCCAGATTCAACTCCTGTTGCTCACTTCCATCACCTCTCCGGCTGCGCCCTCTCGCCTTTCCCAGAGTAGTGGCTCTCCCCTCCGCGCCTCCAGTGGTTTTTCTCCCGGCCCTCCCATCCCACGGGAAAGGCTCGACACCGACGGCCCGCGGAGGGCTCAATACGCACACCTGTACAAGAGACCGACCTCAGAAGAGGCAAACCGCGACGCGGGTTCTAGCCATGCTCACCCACGGAAGCTGCCGCAGCCTAGCCTAAGATCACCGTCTACACAGCGCCCACCTCTCACCCCTACCAGCCTGAGGCGAGCCACGCGGTCCTTGAGCCCCGTTTGCCCGGCCCATGGGGAATAAAGGGGAGTGGGGACACAATGGCGCGCGGGGGTGGGGGGGCGCTCCAGGGCGACCAGCAGAGACAGCGCAGAGACCGCGCGCTTGGCCGGACGCGGGTTCCCAGCCCAGAACTTACTTACCTTCCGGCCACTAGAGCTACCTCTGCGGGGCATCTCCAGGCACACCGCCTCCGCCCACGCGCTCAGGTCCCCCAAACGCACGCCTCCAGCTCAAGGCGCCTGAAGGCTGCGCGCCTCCGAACGCTCAGGGCGCGCCATATTGCGCGCTGCAATTGGCGGGTGCTCGGGCAGCGGGCGGGGCTTCTCCGGGCGCCCTGCCCTCTCGGCCCTTTGCGCCACGCGTGCGTTGCGATTGGAGGACGCTCGGGTGTAGGGCGGGGCTTCTCAACCACTCGGCTGCACAGACTTAATATGGCTGGGTTGTGCCCGGAGTCATCCGTATTCACTACCTCTGTGAGTACGCTGCTCATGGCACTTACCGCTGAGGCTTGGGATTCTGTGGAGTGACCTCTGGGAGGGCTGCATTGCTGCCCATGGAGTTCCTAGTTGGGCAGCTGCTGGGCGGGTTCTTGGGGGGGAGATTAGACTCCAAGTGTTTTTCAAATAAAGTTCTTAGGTGGTCTGTTTTGTCAAGCAACAACTGACCTTAAATAAAAACTCGAGGGGCCCCTGGGTGGGTCTAGAGTTATCACTTGGACCAGTGGTGAGCTGACACCCAGAACTGATTATGAGCAGAACCAAAGGAAGCCTCTGGGGGCCCAAGACCTATTAAACCCTTTAAAAAGGGGAGGATTTTGGCAGCAAACCGTCAGATTTTTCAGACCTGTCCCCTCTTTGTCTGACCACTTCATTTTTTTAAGATTTTATTTATTTATTTGACACACAGAGAGATAGAGAACACAGGGAGAGCGGCAGGCAGAGGGAGAGGGAGAAGCAGTCTCCCTGCTGAGCAGGGAGCCTGATGTGGGACTCATCCCAGGACCCTGGAATCATGACCTGAGCCGAAGGCAGACGCTTACCCAACTGAGCCACCCAGAAGTCCCTATGTCTGACCACTTCAAAAAGGCAACTGCCGCCCAAGGCTCAGCGGGATTGATCTCCACACAGAACTGAGATCTTTCACTGCTTGAACATAATAAGCAGTAAGTGCTGAGAGCTGACCACACCAGACAGAGGCCCTATCTCAACTGCAGTGCCCACAGACTAACTTAGCGTTTGGTTCATTAACTTCCTACACCTTTCCATTATCTTGTTTGTTGTGTGGTTTGTCTTATGCCCTGCTCTGTGTGCTGTGTAAGAAGCCAAGTATAATCAATCACATGGTGAAATATCATTGAGTTTGGAATCCTGAACGTGCTTTATAATTGTGATTTAACTTTGCTTTATCATTGAATAAAGCTGTGAAAAGACAGCTCGTGTGTGTGCCTTCATAACATGCTCATGACAGTGGCTGTCAGTTAAGCCTCCAACTCTTGATCTCAGCTCAGGTCTTGATCTCAGGGTGGTGAGTTCAAACCCCAAGGCTCCCAGTGTGGAGCCTACTTAAAACAAAAAACAAACAAAAAAACTTTGAAGTAGGCTACAAATTCGACAAGCAATACTTAAGGAATGGTCCTAACTGCTGAAACCAAAAGAAAGGAGTGTTCTTTCCCCATCTATTGAAGTGGGGGCAGGTTAGGTATCCAGAGCAGAAATTCTCAAATTTAGGAAACATTAAAATCCCCAAGAGGATTTGCAATAACAGGGATGACTAATTTCGGATTCTGTAGGTCTAAGGTGGTGCCAGAGAACTTGTATTTTTGACAAGTTCCCAAAAGTTATTTGATGGGGAGAACAAATGTAAAAGACATAGAAAAAAAAATTAAACTGCTTTCCAACGTACAGCCATTGACAAGTACTTGAGACAGACAGGAGTATATCTGCCTCGATGTTAATACTTTGCTAGATAGAGGCAAAAGGCAATCTTAGCTTAACATTAGCCTGACCTTCAGGATCCTAAGGCCATACCACCCTGAACGCACCCGATCTCGTCTGATCTCGGAAGCTAAGCAGGGTCGGGCCTAGTTAGTACTTGGATGGGAGTCTCCTTTAACCTAAAAATTCCTTTGGAAACTTCCTTTATCTCGATCCACCCCCCAATGTATATGTTAGCAATCATCCTCCAAGCATATCGCCCACGACACACATCTAAAGGGTCTCATGACTAAGGTTTTACTGGATAGTATAGTAAATGACCTTTTCCTAACAACAGCTAGCCTCTCTAGGTCCTGGAAACCTTGCTTCCAAATTCCTGAGAGACTTACACTATCCCTAACTCTCTCCCAACTTGAAAGTATATAATCAGCCATACCTCACAACCCCAGCGCAGCTCTTTCTGCCCACATGTCCTGTTCCTATGCTTTAATAAAACTATCTTTTTGCACCAAAGACATATCAAGAATTCTTTCTTGACTGTTTGCTCCCAAACCCCAACATTTTCACATCAATATTGTTGATGCTGGTCCTGTAATTCACTTTGGGAAGTAGAGGCAACCACCATTTCTTAGATCCCACAAGTGTCTCAGCACTTTGAGAAGTAAATATAAAGCAAAACACAAGAGGAAGAGGAGCTGAGACTGAGTAGAAACTGAATTAGATCACGAAGTCTAACTAGGTAGGAATATTCTGTAATAAAAGCATCTGTTGTAGAAAAAACTAAAATGATGATTTAAGCAAGTTGAGAAAGTGTCAGCCTGGGGAAGAGAAAAGAATTCTCCATTGTACCCTCAAAAGTATAGTGGAAGTGGAGTTTGGTCTTCAATTTATCCATTTTCCCTATACATTTGCCATTGTTGCCTCAATTAGGCCTTATAACACAGTTTGACCATCTTATTGCATCTCTGCTTTGACTCTCAATTTTATATCTACAATCAGACCTCTCCATACTGCTTGGCTATAGCCCCTTAACACTACCTGCCTGTCATTGCCACCTGAATGTCTGAGAAACGTTTCAACCTAAATTTTTCTTTTCCCCAAAAATGATAATTCTCCATCTCAGTAGTGGCACTGACATCCACCCAGTAGCTCATGCTTAAACCTGGGATTTTCATGAACATTTTTGTCTCTCTTATCAAAATCCAGCCTGTCCCACCTCCCATTTGTAAATTTCTCACCTATCCACTCGTTCTCCACTGCCACTACCATATTCCAGGCCATTAATTTCTTTTGCCCAAACTACTCAGTAGCTTCTAACCAGTATCCACTAATACAGTCTTGCCCCCATCTACCATATACATAGAATCCATTCTCCATATACACATTCCAGTGATGTCTATGCTGTCCATATTAGTCTTCCTTTCAGTTGCCAAATGTACCCTGGGGCCTCTGGGTCTATGGATTTGCTACTCCATTTGCCTGAAAGGCTCTGGCCTTCTTCTGCCATGTCACTTCATACACAGCTATTGAAAATTATTGACCCTGGGAGATAGGTACATAGAGGTTTAATATATTATTACCTCTACTTTTCAAACATTTGAAATAATTTTTAAAATTTTAAGTTGAGGGGTGCCTGGGTGGCTCAGTAGTTGAGCATCTGCCTTAAGCTCAGGTCATGATCCCAGGGTCCTAGGATCGAGCCCCGCGTCAGACTCCCTGCTCAGCAGGAAGCCTGTTTCTCCCTTTCCCACTCCCCCTGCTTGTGTTCCTGCACTCGCTATCTCTCTCTCTGTCAAATAAATAAGTGAAATCTTTAAAAAAAATTTTTAAGTTGAGATTTTTAAAAACTAAAAACAAACAAAAACAAAAAGAAACAAACAAAAAAACCAGAACTCAATCTTAGTTTCTTTGAACTCTCGAAGCTGAGCTTCCCTGTTCATTTTTATGGACCCTACGCTTCTCTGAAGGTGTTATAATAATCATAATCTAAACAATTATAATTATCATCTGGTTCCACCTCCACACTATAAAGTAGTACCATTTCTGTCTTCTTGACCTTTATATCCCCAGCACTTAGCACAATGTCTTCCATATACAAAGCACTCAAATATTTGCTTGAATGAATGAATAAACTAATAATTATTAAATAATTATTTCTAATAATTTGTTTGAGGTCTCACAGCTACAAAGTGTTTAGGATTAGAACTCATGTATGACACCAAGGTCCATGTTTTCTCCATTCTACCATTCATAAAATAGTATAATTATGAGGAATTTTCAGTTGAACAGAGAGGCTCAGCAAAAGTGAATTATCCATAAGAAAGATAAGCCTGTACTGGAATGCATTTTTGAATATCTGTCTTGTCAACAAATATTTGATGCCAAAACATAAAAACAAGTGCAAAAACTTTTCTTTTAACTCTTTTATCATCAAACTTTTTGGCCTAGTTCTTGTTTTGCAGATATCTGGGGTTTTTTGTGTGTGGTTTTCACTCTGCTTACAAGGATCCTAAGGATTCCATAAAAGGGCCATTGGAGTCTGTGATGGGGGCAACAATCACAACAGATCTCTATTATACCACCAGGGCAGCTCTTCTTCCCTCTGTCTTAAAAATAGGGTGAGACTTCATATAAAGAAAAATATACATAAAGGAGAAATGTTTGAAATCTACTAGTCTATATCATTTTCTAGCCTAGTAGTTAAGAATGCAGTGGACTGCAACTGAAGCCAAGATTTGCATGTGAAAAATGAAACTATAAAGGTATCAGAATAAATAATAATCAAAATTCATTTATAATCTTGGGGGGGTGTTTCTAACTATGACTCAAAATTCACTACTCATGATAGAGAAGATTGATATACTCCTCATGATACAAAAGATTGATAAATTCAACTGTGTAAAAGTTATGCATGGCAAAAACTACAACAAATAAAGTAAAAGACAAATGACCCAATAGGAAAAATACTTGACACTCCTCTCATGTAAAAAACTACTCCCCTAAAGTATAAATTGCTCTTGAAATCAGGAAAAGAATGACCAACAACCCAATAGAACATGGGCAAAGACATGAAGCGTTCACAGAAAAAGGGACACAAATACCCTTTATATATATGAAAAATATGGCACCTCGTGAGAAATACAAATTAAAACTGCACACTGAAGCTATTGGCTAAAATCTAAATATTTGATAAAACACATTAGGGTAAAGGCATAATACTCATAACTGCTAATGGAAGTACAAAATCATAACACCCCTATCAAGGGGAATTTGGCCATATTTTTCAAAATTACAAGTGCATTTATGCTTTAAACTAGTAATCTCTTTCTAGGAATTATTTCTA